AAAGGAGGCTGAGGAGCAACCTTAATGCTCTCTATAGCTTCCTGAGGAGGGGAAGTGGAGAGGGAGATGCTGAGCTCTTCTCCCTGGTATCTAGTGATAGGATGCACGGGAACAGTTCAAAGCTGCGCCAGAGGAGGTTTAGACTGGACATTAGGAAGCTTTTCTTTACCAAGAGGGTGGTCAAACACTGGAATAGGCTTCCTAGAGAGGTGGATGATGCCCCAAGCCTGTCAGTGTTTAAAAGGCATTTGGACAATGCCCTCAATAACATGCTTTAACTTTTGGTCAGCCCTGAATTGGTTAGACAGTTGGACCACATTATCATTGTAGGTCCCTTCCAACTGAAATATTCTATTCTAAAGCAAATTTACTCTCCACTACCAAAAAGGTATAGAAGAAGAATATTTGTTTTTATGGTAGAGTGAATGTGAAAACAGGTAACACTAAGCTAAGAGTTACACAGGTAACCCCATTACACAATTTCTCCTACAGATATGTCAATTATTGCCTGTTCTGACACAGATCCTAATCACTCACCTCCCATTATAGACAAACTGTAGCTATAAGGAGGAGATACAAAGCAGATTCTGTACCAAAAAACACATTTCAGTACTTTGAAAAAAAATGTGTGTCTACCAGGATTGCATAAATTTTGTAAAAATTAAAGTCAACTACAATGTTGAGTTGAGGGCAAAAAGCCACCACATACTGGGCCTTTTGTGACCCAGATAGCAGAGGGCTTATTTGTACCCTGACAGTACTGGTTAAATCTTACTCCTTCTCTAACACCATAAATACAACCACATCTAAAAATACTTAGTATTCTTCTCCATTATAAAGTGGCAGATTTTAACAGAATTAAGAATAAAATTGTCAAGGCATTTTTAAGACTGCAGACAAGTAGCATAAAGGCTTGTATGGGACACTGAGCCTGTAACATTCAAGAGGTCATGTCAGAGGGCAGCCAGCAGGATACACAAGCCAGCTGATGAATCTCTCCCATGCAAGGAGGGGTGCACTGAGTTCATGCTAGGGTATAACATGATCTCCTGTTTTTCTCATTTACAATGCTGCAAACCATACCTAAAGCCCATTTCAGAGCAGAAATTGGTATGTAAACAATTTGAACACTAGAGAAAGTAAGCAACCTAGAATTTGCCTGTTCATCCCTCAGTTCTGACCCCAGGTTTGGAAACACCCCCTAAGTGCAGTTGAAGTACAGACTTCCCACCGGCTACAGTTGAGTGATATGCTGCTGCTTATACAGTTTAACTTTTAGCAGCCATCTAACAAGCCAACAATCATCAGTTTCTTAAGGTAAATATTTTGTTTAAAGATTCAACTTCCACATTAGATAGCTACTGCTTTAATAATACCATGTACTGTAGCTCACTATTCCCAGGGGAGAGAAAAGTTAGGAGTTAAGGATAGGTCTTCTTCAGGAAGGTCTGCTGCTTGACCTTGCCAAGATGATCCCCCCCAAACTAAATCCCTACAGTGTCTAGAATGATTGTAGTTAAATAGAGTAACAACTCAATTCCTTCAACAGTTCTCCAGTGACTTATGCCTGATAAAACTAGCAGAATAATTTAAAATACTAAGTTAAATACTACTTTATGCAGCAGACTGATTTCTGGAGTCTATTACACAGTATCAGCAGACAAAAAAGTTAAACTGGGATTTCACAACTACTAGATACAAGGGATACAACACACAAGTAGGCACATTCTACAAATAATTAAAGTGCAAAACAGCTTAATTAGAGAAAGCATGCTTCTCTACTAACACATACAGAGTGAAGGCACAAGCAAGGAATTTGGCTGAACTAATCCTAGTCTGGAAAACCAGGAAGATCTCAGTTATTCAGTGAAAACCGATTCCCCTACCCCATTAACACCAGTCAATAGCACTTACCCTAGAAAAAAGGAAAAAAGTTGTGAAGTAGCACACCACTCAACATTCTATACTAGCATGACATGTCCGTAGAAAAGGTGAAGTTTCCGATAAAGTAAGAAATGCCAGTAAAGTGAAGATGCTTCAGAATTGCAGATAGTATTGTCAACACCATCTGGTTACTTGAATTAAAAACAGCTAAAAGACTTTCAGATGGCTCTCTACAGTAATTGGATTAAATAGATGATGGTCAATATTCTAGATGTTTGACCTTGAGAAAACATTTCTATGGAATGTGTCACAAGTTCAGCTAACTAAGTTTTAATTATTCCTTCTGAACTAAGATATTACCAATTAGGCTGATATAACATGACATTTTTAATCAACTTATTCCTCCATATGACATAATTTAGAATAAGTTATAATGAATAACCTGAATTAAGATAACTACTTGTTATCCAGAAAGATCATTGTGAATATTACAGACATATCTTGATCATTTGCAACACGAGTGTATGTGGAAAGCTACCAAGCCTCCAATATGTAACTGCCACCACTTTAAGAAGAGCATATCAGATAGCACTGACCAAGCAAAGCCAAACAGCCAGGATTCGAGAAAAAACAACTTTTTAAACAAAGGATAACAAGTGCTAATAGCCACAACTACCTGAAGAGTCAACTTTACTTCACTGATGAAGTTTTTCATTCTGGTGGATTAGAAAACTCTTAGGCTCAATGTACTAATATTTCAAACAAAGGGTTCTTCCGAGAAGTGAATTAGCTAGTTTAAGATGAATTACAAGGATAAACAAATCTGCTGATAAACAAATCTTAAAGCCTAAAACATCATTTCATGCACTGAAAACTCAAATTATGACAACTTATTTACAGATAATGCAGTCTGTCTTTTCTGCATCTCAAAACACAGTGAGCTTTCCCAAAAGCATATAGAAGGAAATAGTTTCTTAAGGAAGAGTTACAAATTGTTGAGAACAACATAATTTAAAGACATTGGCATTCTTTGGGAGTCAATACTGAGGTGCACACTTGTTTTACCTCCTCATTAATCAACTGGACAATGAAACAGATTGTATCCTCTGTAAATCTGTAGCTCAGATCGGGGAGAAGTGGGAAGCAGAGGCCCAACACACTAGATGGTAAGATTCAGAGGGAGCCTATTTTTCCAGCCCCTTGAAATAGTCCTCAAAATTTAACAGAGACACAAGTCTTGCACCTAGAACAAAGTGACACCATGAAACAGTGCAGGCTGAGGGTTGACCAGATACAATCCAACTTTGCAG